AGATTTTGTTTTCGGTCGTCGTGTCAACGGGCTACCAGTGCATCGTCATTTGTCGTCCAGTTTTATCTTCACTTTTTTTCCCCGTTGTACTGGTGCGTAGTTATAATCTTTAAAGGAAAAAAAAAAAAGATTTGTTCACTTAATTATCGTTTTGCTTCTCGAATTATTCCATCGTCGACAAATTTTGCTTTACTCTTTGTACGAATCACTGTTAATGTATAACTGCTTTTTAACTTTAGCAAAACTTTACACATGAGGATCTACTACCGAGGAGGATTGTATTTCGTCCCTGTGTATACACTGCTAACTGATGATGCTCATTCTTCTGGTGCTGTCGCTAGAATATCTCAGTTGTCTTAAGTATTACTCAAAAAATTTTGCTTTGTTTTGTTATTCTAAACTATACTATTATTGCGACAACAACAATAATGCTTAGTTTTCTAACAGCACATCCACTTTCCTAGTTTTTTTTTTTGTTTAAAATCTTTGCTCCCTCCAGAAAACTGTTATTATCTCCAAGCTGGCAATAACTGATAGGATTGTTAACAAATGGTCACCGCTGATCTGCCATCTTTTTGTGTTTTCGATTTTGTTCGCTCAGGTAGATTAGAGGAAATCGAAAGACGAATAAAAACAAGAACAATGAGATGACGGTTACCGGTTACAGTGTTACTGCCAATAAGCATTTAAACACTTACCGTCTAAATCACAAAACAACCGCAAGACGATTACGTCTCGGTCTCTTGTACTTCAATTCCTGAACAGTTCTTCCTCTTTTATTATCAGATGGAGAACAATACCAAATATGGAATTAACTCTCTACCTTTTCAGGATACTACTTATAACTCTTTTAAAAGCTCATTTCCTTCCATTACCTTAAGATTCACATAACTCCCGTAGCATAAATTTATGAAGGACCAGCAGCTGCTAATAAAAGGAATTCGGAGTTGAATTTTTCCATAAACTTAAATTCCCTTCCGTCCTGCACATTCCGCAAGTATCAAACATGCTTTCCACTGAAAAATTCCTACTTCCTTCACGGTCTGTCAAGAGGTTCACTGTACTCTCATTTTATTAAGTGGAAAAGCTAGTGAAATCTCACGCAGAAACGGCGAGCTGGCACATGGACTTTACGGACCTACTACTGAAAGCGGGAGAACACGTTACTTGCCTTCTTAACTCCGCACGGAACCTGTAAACCTCAAAACTTACAGGAGTCTAAGTGCAGCTCATCCTTGAGTTTATTAAAGTCCGCCTCGTAGCAGAAAAAACTATGCTGAACCTCTGAGTAAAAAAGCCCCACCTTGGCAACCGTTGAGAAACGATATTGGCAGGAGCCAACTGCAATCATTGAAACGGTACACTCGATGCACTGGTCTCTTCAACTTTTCCACTTGACGATGAGCCGACAATGGGGTCTGGAGACCTCACCTTGTCTAGTCTCTCCACGTTCTGTGCTTGACAACCTCTTCACCGTCATTACGACACTGCTCATCTTTGAGTACTTAACACCACTTTATAACAGCGCAGGTGCACTTAGCTGCTAGCTTTTCAATACTAGAATGCTAGATATGGGCAGATAAATAAAAGTACCAAATGCAGCTAATAAAAGACATCTCAAATTTTATCACTGGAAATACAGGCGTTCACACTCAGCTCCAAAAGGTGAGGCTGAACCAAGGCTAAATCAAAAAACGGAGAAACGGAATCTGTATAAAGCCATATTATTTGTACCAGATGGCATTATTAACCGATGAGAACTACGCCGAAGAAACTGCAGCAACCATATTAACGATTTTAACTACCTCCGAAGTACTGTGACTTCTAAAATTAAATGCGGTAGCTTAATGATAAAAGAAACTAAAAAACTGTAAACGAACATTTTTTCAAGAATAAAAGTAAACAAATAGCCGAACATGAGCTAGAGGGAATCCAATCAAAATCCTAACAAATGAGAAAAAACCTTTAGTCATAGTAAACTATAAATCCCCTTTAGTGCGCTAGGGAGATGCTAATAACAGCTCAGACGTGGGTACTGCACTCAGCATTACCAGTTCCAGTTGAACATGAATAGCACACTAAGAAATCAATTTGACAGTTCAGCTTGAAAATAAAGGTATGAGTTAAAAAAATCAACGCAATAGTGGTGAATCATACAATTACAATTAACTTTATTAACTGTAAAAAGAAGTTTTTTCATTTTCCAGTCTTTTTTCTCGGATTACTTTCAACTGCGGCCGCTGAAATCAAAAGATTACGTGACTGGAATAAAAAAAAAAAATGATTACAATGAAGTGCAAAGCACTAACGCAAATGGCTTCTTTTCCAAACGAGCTTCAGGTTTGGCACGATTCATCACCTTTAAGAAGTCCTGAGTTTTTGCCCTCATTCTTGAATGCAAATATGCCTGGAAAAAAAGAAGCTTGCAGTCGAAATGAAAGTGGATTCGTGATTGCGCAATAGGATAGTGTGTTCGAGGAAATGCTGCAATAGACCAGAAAGAAAACGTAGATGAACCTTGGAGCATTTGATATGATAATGGAGGTAATCACGAAAAGTGTGAATCATATTGATTGTGTTGTCACGGGCTTCCTTACTTGTATGTCGCGAAAACAGTACTAAAATTGATACAGCTTTGTAAAAAGCAGCGATTTTAAAAATGCCAAAGAATGTGAATAATGATTCTGTTAATCACTTTGTATAATGATACGTGTTAAAAAGCAAAGAACTTACCAAAAG